TGCATTATCACTTCTAAATACAACAGAGGTATGTTAACAGGCACTTTGAGTTAACCACATACTCCATTGCCTTCAAGCTAGCTTACATGCATTAGCTTAATGTTATGTATTATATACATTGTTATTGTTGTGAATTATTTACATTTCATGGTCAGAGACCAAGACTATAAACCTACATCTGCGGTCAATCTCACTGACCCGGTGTGTGTTATCGGACCTGACCTCAGGACCATACATTGCTTCCAGCTAAGGTTAAACACAGGTCTCGACTTCGGTACGAAAGGGTGAACACAGAATTCTGTCAGGCACGGATATCTCCCTTTTAAACGGCATTGTAACCGATTATCAAACCAGTCTGAAAACAAAGAAGACATGGGGGGGGGGGGTGCACAAAATCAGGTACGCATGTAGAGAAACTCCTCATGGTGTTTTATTACAGGAACTAATGCAGAAAAAGCACCAGAAAAAGTGCGATTCTATGGTTTAGCAGTGATGTGTATTGAACTACAATTGCAGACATGATTCTGTGTGACCTGTAACAGCAGTCTCATGTGACCAGAACATGCTTTCATAATCCTGTGTTGAACATGAGGATTGTGTATGAAAGTGATATTAGTTTGGAGATGGTCCATTTTTAGATATTAACTTTTTTTCTTTTCTTTTTCTTTTTTTTTGCCATTTTAGAAATGGTAATACCAGTATCACACATCACAAGGTCACAGTGAATGAATTCCACTGAACCAAATTAAATGACTAAACAAATTGGTAATGCGTTATTTTACAGGTCTGTTATTTTTTAATAATTTCGTGAAAGTGTACTGAAGAGAACGAGGCAGTTTGGTAGTAATTACAGGAAAAATAGAGACAAAGTTCTAAGACTCTTATTTCGGTTAGTTCAGTTATTTAGTTTGCGTGGAGATGAATTGCTCCATTTGAAACCCCAGTGAATATTTATTACTCATTAATTTATTGCTGGAAACTTTATTTTTCATATATGATGAAGGGCATGTTTGTGTGTAGACGCACACATTTTGCATGTTTAGCTCACCTGCTGTCCTCTGAATAAATATCTCAAGCTTATGCTATGTTAGCATTCAGAAATAATTGGCTATATACCAACTGCTTTATTTTACCTATAACTGTTACCAAATGATATGGTTCTTTCCTTGTAACTTCTTAGGAGATTATATAGAAATAAATTGGGATTTATGTACGTGTGAAATAAAACTTTATCAACTAATCATCCAGATCAATTTTTGTGACATGTCTTTATTATAGTAAATTTAATATTAAGTAGAGTAATAGCTGTTGGCACATTTCACTGGTTCTAAGTCAGGCTAAGACACTTTTATTGCTGACTTAAGTCGGGTGTCCAACAAAGGTTCAAAGCTTAATTTGGTCAACTGTATTCAAGCCTCACACCACCCACACAAGTTTAGCCAAGACAGGTGTCTCAGTATGACACTGCAGTGTAATCCTTTCTTAATCCGCGTCCAAGCTCAGTGCTCAGTTTCTTAATCCCAACTCTAATAAACAAGTTAAAGCTGAAGTTAATGTGTCCAGTAAAAAGTGCAGCACGTGTCCGTCTGCCATGGGCGAGTTATTGTGTGATCTCTGGAAATCCAGGCAGAGTTCCCCCTCTGTCAGCACTGTGAGGTATGCTCAACACCAGTCCAAGATTCATAGGAATTTTTTGTCAGCCAGTTAAACATTATTCTTGCCAGTGTGGCTTTCTCTAGGAGTCGGCATGGGGTTTTAGTTAAGAAAAGGTTTGCGTGACATTGAAGCATTGTGGTTTTGGGGGAGATTTCAAAATCCATCTGTAAAGTCTTGCATGGAGGGAAGAAATCTTGGAATTTGGCATCGGCTGAGCGTCGGGTAGAGCCTTGTGTAATCTGGCAAATTGTGTAGCTCAGTCGCATGTGGTTTTTTGAAACCCTGGACAAGACGTCAGGCATTTCACTATGTGGGTTTGCATTCTGCAGCCCCAGAGTGAAAGTCCTTTTGTTCACTCGTCCATTGATAGAACTTGGGAATGGAGCAGCATTGTTCATGTGCATTGTACACTGGTCCCCTTTCCACTTTCATTCTATTGTAATCAGTTTATACCATTACATAATAAATGGTTCCTTTATCGTGGAGTGGCACTACACTGGCTCCTCACTTTTATTTGTGGCAAATGAAACAAAGTAATTCCCCTTTCCTTCTAGCATGGAAAACTAAAATCAAAGCTCATCCAGGCAAAGCTATACTCGAACTCAAAATGTAAAGATGGAGCTAAAATTCATTAAGATTTTTATTGATATAAATAATGAGCATCAGGAACTCAAGATGGAACTGTTCTGGGAATCACCAGTATTCAGTGTTATTAAAACGATCAGAGAGATATTAAGGTTTATAATCCAGGGGAATCCTTAAACTTCACTCTACCTTGACACTTCATCTGTTCTTTTCCTTAATTCATCCAGGTGTTATGAACATCCTATCATTTTAAATCGAGGTTGATGGGTCATCACTGACTAATCGAATAGTTGATCGACAGAAAATAAATCGGCAACCTTTTTGATAATCGATTGATAATTTCACTCATTGTTTTTAAAGCAAAGATTTTTGTGGTCGCAGCTCGGATGTGAATCTTTGCTAGTTTTGTCATTGTAAATTAAATTACTTCGGGTTTTGGACTGTTGGTTTGACAAAACAAGACATTAGCTGAAGTTCACTCTGGAGAAAAAGTGATTTTTTGACACTTTTTTTTTGCAGATTAGTGGATAATGAGAATAACCGACCCTAGTCTAGGCTATGCTCACTGGCTAATATAAAGTGTGCAATTGTCTGAGTGAAAGAAAATGGTAATAGCTAAATAGCTAACACTGCGGTACTTAGAACACCTTGGTTTCTGAGTGTATTGATAAGCACAGTCCACCAGTAGATAGCCAAAAGAAAGAAGGAAATGAATATTGTGAATCTAATAATATGAGGCTACTACTCAATTTAACGATTTCAGTGTGTAAAGGAAGTTGTTTACAGGCCGCTGCTATGTCACCTAACCTTGGTCTTAAAAATACCCAAAATGTCAGTTCCCAAAATGTCACCACAAACAGTTTGAAGACTTGAGTCAATTTAGAGGAGGCTCAGCATGAACCTGTTTGCACCTTTCACCGCTTGCTGTCACTCTGAAGGAGGGCCGGTCGCGTGTTCTCGTCTGCGGCCCACTGTGTCTCCATAAGGCCCAGGAACAGTGTGTGGTGACAGCTCGGGTGATTACCTGTCCTGTCTCATTCAGTCAGCCGGCCTGCAGCTTGGCCACATCATGCATCAGAAAGTGACAGACAGTGATTACGATGTCGTTAGACCTGACTCTCCGCTGCTCTCGGCACACATTCATTTGCTCGTCCTCTGAGCACTGGGAGAAATGTGCTATCCAAGCTCTTTTCAGTAATCCATGAAATATGAAGCTCCTGTGATGACAAGTCTTGTGCTAATATTAAATTTCATCATAGACTAATGTTTGGTTTTCAAAGCACTCAGCTGATCACTAATTCAGATTTTTCATTCAGTGATTGATCTGTACTGTCTCTTGCGGCATAATTCATGGTGGTAATACTTTCTAATGATTAGCTTTATAAATCATGATCAATCACAGGATTTTTTTTTACAAACCTCAAATAATCAAATTGATAAGCACTAAATACAGCTGTACATTAAGTATGGCTGGGAGTGTAGTTTCATTTTGCAGATATTTGGTCAAAAACTCATCATAAGTTGGATTCATCATCTGGAAACCATGAATGTAAGTTTTGACGAGATAATTCTCAGGATAAGTTAAAAATCGGAGAACACGTCAGGGGATCAGCAAAGTCAGGATTCATCCTCTTTGCTCCAGACTGAAATATCTATTGGTTCAGCTGAATTTTATGGTCCTAAGTGATGGACTTAACAACCCAGCGACAGGCCAACATTTCATCCCTAGAAGGATCAAAATTAAGCAGCAACTTTAATATGTTCAGCGATGAGCGGTTTTAGTTCTCCAGGTTGTACTTTGGAGCAGTAAGTAGATTATAACAATTATTTAAAGGGTGTACAGTCTTATAATCCAATGTGTCAATTGTTATTTTGTCTTCCAAGTCTAATTGGATCCAGCATTGGCAGCATATTCCCGAGCACTGAATGGTTTATGCCCAATTAATAAATGTGTGGTGTTGGCTGCAGCGTGGCATTCCTCCCGCAGTTCAGTGCTAATGACTTGGAGCGCTTTAATGTTGACTGCCTTGAATAAAGAGAACTAAGCCTCGTATCACCGTGGCCCTTAAATCACCATCAGTCTTCCTCTCTCCGTCTCTTTTCCGCCTACACACTTTTTCTACCTCCTGCTCTCTCTCCTTCTCTCTCCCTCACTCTTCCCCTCAGTTGCTCCCATCATCTCCCACTCCTCCTGTCCTTTTCATTTTCGTTTTCCACGTAGGCCCACTGTCTCTTCATTGCTGTCACAGTGTGTCAGAACAGGTGGAATCAATTACTGACCCTCAGCAGCCCGCTCCCTGCCACAACTAGCTCTTTAATTGAGGGAATTAATGAGTGATCAGTCTGTGAGATTATTTGTGTCATGGATCTCGCTCGGCAGTGTGTGAGGCAAGAAAGCTGGGGGAGGGATTGTTTGACCAACCCTGCATAACTAATTCTGTCCTTCCACAGAGGCAGCCAGAGCAGTTCACATGTCCCTCCCCTGCCTGCTAATCACCTCTAAGGTTGAGGAAAGACAAAAGTAGCACATTACAACACTGCCTGCTGCATCGCCCTCTCTCTCTGATGAAATCTTCTTTTAAGGACCACTGAAATACCAGGATGTCTTTCATGCGCTCAGCACTTTTTTTTTCCACTTCCTCTCATTGTGGCATCCGTTGGCTGTATCTCAACATCTGCTCTGTACATGTTTATACAGTGGTTCTGAAGTGTCTCATGTGTTTCTCTTTCTCTCTCAACCCCCACTTCTTTCTTCACAGATGGAATCTCCTGTCTCCACGCCAGCCCCTCCCCCCCTCCACCTCCTGGCCACAGTAGGCAACAGTGAGATTGCCTCGCCGTGCGAGCAGATAATGGTGCGTACACGCTCGGTAGCAGTGAACACATCCGATGTGGCCCTGGCTACCGAACCTGAGTGCTTGGGGCCCTGTGAGCCTGGTACCAGTGTCAATCTCGAAGGCATCGTGTGGCAGGAAACTGAGGACGGTAAGTCAAACTGTTTAACGTGCTCTTTCCTGAATGTCTTCCCAGTGAAAAACTATGAGTATTGGAAGTTGGCGGAAAAGAAAAATAAGCTACAAACATATGGGATAGTTTGTTTTTGTTTTTTGTTTTTTTTTGGCTTTTATGTACATATCCAGTTGGTTGACATCAAAGAGGTATTGGTTGTTCGAGGCTTTAGTGAAGTCTCTGTCGTTTAAAAACAAAAAATCTTGCTCCATACATATTTTTCCTGCTAAAATGTAATTGGATATGCCCTGACTGCCTCAGGAGCTGGTGATGGTACTAATATGTGCTTCAACAGCACACATGCTGCATAATATTGCGAACGAGAATAGTAGTTGGCAGGCAGTTCTTAGGTGGCCTTGATTTGTTTTGTGCTCGGGAGTAGGCAGACGGGAGTTTGTTGCACAGAGATATCTGCTCTCAACAACAACATGCCTCATAACACAAAGCACTTTTTTTTTTGTTTTGTTTTTTTCTTCTTCTTCTTTTTTTTTTTGCAAGGCTGCCAGTTGGGAATAGAGTTGGCTCCTCTTCTGCAGTGCAGTCCGAGTGAAATCTCAGACCCTCTCAGTTTTCCTCCCTTTGATGGAAACCGCATTCAGCTTACTTAATTTAAAGATGTATCACTAGCACTATCAGGTTCTGCTGGGTCTGAAAAACTGCCCTCCTTTTTCTGTCGTGCATGTGAAATAATGCAAACACCTAATCTTCAAAGCAGCTCACGCTCAGTCGCTCTGCGGGCATGCTGAGTACAAATCGCCCACACATCCACAGTGCTGCTCGTTGGTTCACTTGGAGGAACTGAAGAGAAAAGGTCCCTGCCTCATCAACATTCCCAAAGCACAGTCCCCGCTATTGAGTGGCTCCCAACCCCCCCCACCCCCCCACCCCCAACCCTTTTTTGATTTTTGCTCAGCCCTGGGCTGTGTCTGATTCACCCCTGTTCTCCTCTGTATTGCAGCTCTTTTCTGTTACCAAGCATCCAGCCAGTCACCCCTTGACTCTGTTTCCAAGCAAACTGGGAGAGAGTGAGTGCAAGGCAAAAGGTTGGGGCAGGAGAGGGGGGGGGTTAGACAAGGCTACTTCTGTTAGTGACACAAACATGGCTCAGAGCCAACACCAGTACTATGTTTGTGCTCCCTCATTCTCTGCCTCCCACAGAGTGATTGACCCTCCCCCTCGCCCTGCCCCCTTCCCTTTCACCGTCCAAGTCTGTCCTTTGCCTGCACTCGCTCTCTCAAAGCTGCTATTTTGGCTGAAAGAGGTAGTGGTTTGGCCTGATGGAGCTGTGTTTTCTCCTGATTCTACTCTATCTGGCTCAGTGGGGAGGAGGCTGGTGGGAGCTTTTGAGTGGTTTTAAAAGTGGTATGGTGTAGAGGAGAAGGTGTGTGTGTGTGTGTGTGTGTGTTGAGGGGAGAAGGGGTGGGGGGCACTCTGCAGGTGTAGCACACAGGTTGTTATGACCATCAGAGCTGTAGAGACCAGCAGGGTTTCCAGAATCCAACCCCCTTTGCTCTCTTTGAAGCCTCTTTTTATTATTTTTTTTTATCTCCGACGAAACCTGTATCAAGTAGTCACAGTCAGGGTAGAAAATCATGCGGTAGAGGGTGAAGAGATACATTTAATAACTGCCACTAGAAGTGGCCTTTCCCTTTATTCTTATATGGCTTTCTGTTTTTTTATTATTATTTTTTAAGGCGTTTGAGGACATCACAGCTTGTTAATTTCTAACAAAATCAGCTTCACTTTAGTGTTTAAAGCCAGAGACTGCAGCGCCTGAAATGTGTGCTGTTTCTGAATCCATACTAGATGTGCAACTGTTAGTTTTTGGTGTCATATAAAGAGCCATCAGTGCAGCTGGAGATATAACAGTGAATCTGGACTGAGTTTCTAAGGAGGCATTTCTCAATAGCCTCTATTGTATTGGATTTTGCACACTACATTAAACAACACAAAGATGCGTATTCCTTCTACATCATTTTAATGGTACAAGCCCTTAACAACCCACTGGCTAGTCTTAAAATGAAAGCGACCCAGATGCTGCTCACATCAAACTGCAATGCCTTTCCACTGTTTTTCCCCTAAGAGACCTGTGGGAGCAGACTTCTCTCATTGTGGGGCAACTGAACAAATGAGAACCAAATGAGGAAATCAAGCAAATCCAGGCAGAGTACCAGGGAAGAGCAACAAACAGAGGCCCCAAAGACATAGCAGAGGCATCCTGATTAGCAGTGAAGTTGAGCAGTCCCCCATTTCTCTGCATGACAAGTCTCATATAGGGCTGTTTAGGCATGCACTGCGTGTGTGCGCGTTTCATTTAGCATGCCAACCAACAGCTGCTTCATCACCTCCGCCTTTCGGCCTTGTGGGAGTAAATGAACAACAGGCTCCCAGTAATTGTCTGCGCCTCACCCGACTCACAGAGTGCCAGAGAAAGAAACAGATGAGGAGAGAGCGGGCGACAACTAACAAAATACGATCACAGAAGCTGCACCTTTGGTCAGAGCTGACAAGAGTCTTGGCTGATGAGGCCGAATAAATTTTTCATCCTGTGTAATCTGAGCACAGATGTAGCAGCGCTTTCAGCCGAATCTTCGTATCGGCAAGATTTAATCAGCAGCATGAATGTATATGTGGATGGCTGAATGAACGAAATGATCCATAAAATCTGGAAAAACATATAAATTTGATGCATTTTGTTCTGTGTAGGAGAAGAAAAAAAAACGGATAATATGAGGTGAGAGAAAGTGAGTCTGTGTCATGCAGTCAGTCTGGGGGGCGAGTGGAGTGTAGACAGAAGAAAGGAGGGGCAGAGCCGTGGTATTTTAAGGCCCGGCATTGACACAAATCCCCTCAGCGCAGACAAGGCAGTGGCAGCTCCCAGGGTCGTGTCGGCGGAGCGATGGGCCAACCCCTCCCAGGCTTAGCATGCTGATACCTCCAAATGTCATCTCTAAAATGCTGGAGAAGTTTGTTGCTCTTGAAACACAGCCCAGAACGCCTTGGCTCCCGCTCCGGGGTAGAGAGAACACAGAGGGGGCCCCTTTGGCCAAACACTGCAGCTCCATGCCAGTGCAGCCCCTCCTCACTCCCCAACCCCCAAAAGGCTCACACTCACACACCGACCCTCCTGTACACAGCAGGCTATTTCCCAAGCAGGTCCCACAGCTTCTTAAGCTCCCTAATAGACAAATAATACAGGCTGTTTGTGATAAATGTTTGTCTCATGGATTATTTATGCAACACGCATTACATCACTGTAGCATTACGAGAATTGGCTTTATCACAGCAGTTAAAAGCTGTTAGGCATCTGAATAGAAGAGAGGTCAGTGTGAAACGGATATTCTTGTATAAACGTTTGAGAGATGTGGGTTTTCTTTTTTCTTTATTTCTCCAAGCCTGTCACTGAGTTGAGGAGAGGAATATTGTATGAAAGGAGCACTTGTAGCTCACTTGCCAGCTATGCTTCCTTGCTCTTTTGGAGACCACCTGTCAGTGGCCTCATTGAAATGTTTTTATAAAGCCGAGCGGTGGCTGCTCTCTGTGAACTTGCCATAGAAACTGTCCTTGAAATAAGAGTGAGCATTGTCAGGAGGCCTGCAGCTCTGTGCCAGGCCAATGAGCAAGAAGAAGATGGAGTGAAAAATCAATCACAAAGGTCCAACTTCTGTTAACAGTAGAGGACATATTGAAGAGAAAAGAACAGAAAGTGATATGCCGCCTTCTTTCTCTAGCTCCCACTCTGTAGATTTTAATTTGCCAGTTCCTTAGCCACGTTTACTTTCCACCCTGCCAAGCCAATCTTTACCCTCATCAGCGTTCACTGTGCAAGAGTGGAAGTGGCCAATTTCCAGGGAAAAACAGCCCCACGTTGTAAAGAATTCTTCCTAAGTATGTGGTTGAAATAAGACTCTGGAAGGAACTTAAGATATAGTGGACTCACCGGGAGGCTCGTCTTGTTAGCAACACATTTATTCCAAGATGGCACCTGAGCAAAAACTGCATTATTTTCTTTTTCAAGCACTTAAATGGTCTTGAAACGTAAATCATACGCCTTGAGGAACTGTAAGCTTTGTCAGTGGTTGTCATAAGATATCATGTTTTCTATACACGTCAAGGAGAGCTTGAGTAATGCGCCTTTGGCAGGCTTGTCTCATAATCTCAGCACCATCTTCTTTAAGGAAAAACACCAGAGGGTTCGTTTTAATGGAGAGATTGCAGATTTGCCCAGACGACATTTAAGGAAACTGCTCCTCGCCTCACTACAAATTATTTGCAGTAATAAATGCATGCCGAGTTGGTAGAGATGTCAAATATTTATTTTTAGGCCGTTACATGCATCGCTGCTGCTTTGTGATCTACTCCCAGTGTAAGAGTAAACATGTAGTGATTTTGTGGAAGGAGAAACTGCTGCATGCGGCTGATAATACTGCGTGGATGTGGAGAGCATACTAATGCACCCTTCCTTTGCCTCTCAGTGGTATGAGAGAATTGACCTTCTCACTGGCTGTTATTCTTGTCAGTAAGAGTGACTTCGCACTTTTACCTCTTATGAACCGGAATGCAGCCTGAACTTTTCAGATAGGGTTCATTTGAACGCTCTAAAATTCAAAATGAAATCATCAACCATACCCGTGTCTCATTTGCCGGTTATTGCTAAACCTTAACTATATTACCAAGATGTGGCATTTTTATGGTATGTTTATCTGTGCTTAATGTCTTGGCTTAATCTTTGTACTACTATTTACAACTTTACTTAATTTGAAAAGTGCTTTACAGTGTTGTAGGGCGGCAACTAAAGAGTATTTTTATTACTGATTTATCTGCCAATTATTTTGTCTATATTAAATGTTTAATCATTTGCATTAAAATAGTTAAAAACAGCAATTGTAATTTACCTTTTCTACCTTCACCATGTGCACAGCTATGCAGTGATCTAAACACACATTGAAATCTTTACTGGAGGCAGTTGTGAAAAC